TGGTGCTTTTTAATGTCTAATAAAAAAGATTTAAATAACCATCTTGTCCAATAATTTGTTTTGTCCAACCTATCTCTACCTGTCTATGATATGTCATAAAGACATGAAAAATATTTCACATCCTATTATTCTCAGAACTACTGAATATACAAAAAAAAATAATAATTCAATCATCAAGAATTGGCTATGAAATTTTTTCAATTGAACATGATTTTTTTTGCCGTTTCGCAGGATTGTGTTACTACAGTTAACAGAAATAGCAAAGAGAAATTATATCGGTAGATTTGAACAGTTGAAAAAGTAATACAACTTCTTTTTGGAGGCGTTAAAAATCCTTTGTTCCCATCTTTTGTCTTCGAAAGGATGATTCATTTCCTCTCTGTTTTAAACGTATTCGAAAGTACTCCTTTGACGCTTAAGGCTTTCTTTTTTAACTACTGAAATTTATGACTCACTTAAGCTTGGATGCTCAGTAACGGTATTTATTTATTTTATTATTTAAACCAACTTCCAAAGAATAATGATCCAAACTGTAATTTTTTTTGTCTCTCCCTATCTGCAATCAGTCCCAGAACTATGAGCAGATGTTTTGGGTGTGGGATCTAAGAATGGAGTGTCCACCCCAGCGGGAGGATCTACTCCTTAAGCATATTGCAAACATTACACAATGTGGCTTCTTTTTAGTCGCTTGGGGTAAAGTATTTGTAGTAATTGAGCAGCCAGTTGATTTGGGTGGTTACATAGTCGCTTTTTATACTTTTCTTTACAATTGAGGATCTCCTCCTTTACTGTCAGTACGCCAAGTTCCTTGTGAATTTCGTTGTTGTTGATGTACCAAGGGACACCCGATACTGATCTCAGTATAATATTTTGGGTCCTTTGAATGATGTTGATATTTGACTTTGACGCACTTCCCCAAAGTTGTAAGCCGTATGTCCTTACAGTAATTATCCAAACTGTAATTAAATTTTTTTTTTGTATATTTCATGTATATCAAATAAACGTATTTTAATTCTTTCTTTTTTTTCCTAGGAAGGAGTTTTGTTTATTTATAAGCTATTTCGAATGTGGCACAGCCTACACCAGGTTAGCTGTAAAATATGTCTCACACAGTAATAATAATATTACTATTTTTATTGACGTCAATTTCTTAAATAAGTATTGAATTTACATGTACTTTATATTTGTAGTTATATATCATATTTGATGTTAATTCTTGAGTTTTGATTTTTATTTTATCTTTTCTTAAGTTTATTATTTGCACTCCTGTGACCCACACACTACTTCCTGTGTCACGCTGTTTTGGGTTGACTGGAAGAGATCTCTTTTAGAGATAAGTCCTCCTTTGTAAACAAAAGTTATAACGTATATTCAAAACTTATATTTAAAAGTGCAATAAAGTATATATAATAATAATCCTGGACAATTAACACAGCGCCATCTTCTGTACCATTCCGTGTAATACCATTCCATACCAAACTGAGAATTCTCTATAGATATAAACATACTATGTAAACCTATTACCATTTTCCCGCGACTTCGTCTCTACAAACTTTCATCCCCTATTTCACCCCCTGTATAATTGTTATTGGGATAAAAATTTGTCTATGTCCATTCTCGCGATGCAGTTAATCTTTATATTAAATTTCATTAATGATGTCCTCATTGGTTTAGCGGTTTAGCACACCCCCTTACTTCCGATGGTCTTGGGTTCGAGTCCATCTCGGTACAAACATTTGTATTTATGAGTATGGTTGTTTGTATTTGTCTGGGTGTTTTCTATGTATAATATGTACGTATTTACGAAAAAAATATATCTATGTATTTGTATCAGTTATCTAGTACCCGTAACACAAGCTTTAGCTAGCTTAACTTGAATCTAGATGGCGGTGTATGTTATCCTGAGATTATTATTATTATTTTCACTATTGTCTCATTTTTTCAGCTTTTGCTGGTTTCTTACTCTTTGTAGCGTATTCCTCACTTACGGGCCGAAACCAAGTAGGTTAGTGCAGAGTATGTGTATGTGTGTGTATGTGTACTTATTGTGAGCTTTTTGTTATTATTATTTGTGTGTTTCGCTCTCAGCCTTTTTGCTGGGGTTTATTACTATTATTATTTTATTATTATTATTATTATATGTTTTATTTTCACAGCTTATGTTGGGTTTTTACGCTTTGTGGCGTATGCCATACTTACGGACCAACACTTATTATTATTATTTTTATATATATATATATATATATATATATTATATATCTCCCTTTGATGGGATAATAGAGTGAACATTGCTGGTAAAAATCACCAAACAATGATAGTATAAATGATGAATGATGAGGATGGATAATTTTTAAGTGGAAGACAAAAATTTGCGGACTATTCTACAAGTGTTTAATATTACAGCTTTTTGGAGAAGGATGAAAGTAAGTGGGTGAAGTTGTAATATCTTGAGGGTAGTGTGTAGGGATGTTGGGATGACACCTGTGGACGAGATATTATTATTATTATTATTATTCTTTATTTTTTCTCAGCTATTGCTGGTTTTCTCCACACTTACGGGCCGAAACCAAGTAAGTGCAGAGTGTGTGTATGTGTGTGTGTTATTATTATTATTATTACATATATATTATATCTCCCTTTTTACGGGGGTAATATATTCAAACACGCGGGCCTTAGCCAAGCATGGATGAGTTATGTGATGAAGATAGAAATTTTCTGACTATTCGGCATGTGTTTAGTATGACGGCTTTTTGTAATAGGTCTATTGTAGAGGAGGGGATGTGCAACGTGTCTAGGTGTTTGTTCAGACTTTTTGGTATAACTCCTGTGGATGACAAAACTATGGGTACTATGTGTATGGTGTGTGCTTTCCATTGTTTTTTTAATTCTATTGCTAGATCTGTGTACTTTGTTAGTTTTTCATTGACTGTGCTTTGTATATTGTGTGTGTTTGGGATGGCTATATTATTATTATTATTATTATCACCTCGATTAATACCGAAGACGGGACATGTCAAGTCTCTCGTTACTTTATTTTGCGTGATTATTACTAATATATACAATAAAAGGATTGTTATCAAACCAACCGTATGCTGCATTACCCCTTGCCTTGTAAAAAAACTAGTTCCTTCATTGAAGTCTTAAGATACCGTTAATAACTGATCGACCCGAGACATATCCCGTTTGTGTTACGAGGTATCGTCTGTTGACATCATTATAAACTGAGTAGTTAAATACTGCGGTTTTGCTCGTATTTCTTATCTTATTTATTTATTTACTAGCGGTGCTCGAGGTTTCATTCGCGTGAAATTTATAGCTTACATGTCGTGTATAAGCTATATTATTGTAAAGTTTCATCAAAATCTGTAGTTTTTGCGTGAAAGAGTAACAAATATCCATACTTACAATCTTGAATGATGATGCAATGGTAATGGTAAACGGGTGCACCAGCACCCGTTTGCGCTAACCGTTTACGCTGGCGGGGCACCAGTGGAGGATGATAAGGTGAGCATGAGGTCAGGTCAGTTAGTCCATTATGGCAAATGGCAATTTACCACGATTGTTTCCAGGGTAAACCGCGTGGAGGTCAACATGACATGGTATATTGCTATCAATCGGGGTTTTTTATGGATGATAATAGAATGGTTCACCCGTCTGCGCTAAAGGTTTACGCTGGCTAAGCACCAGTGGAGGTTGATAGGATGAGCATGAGATCAGGTCGGTTAGCCCATCGTGACAAATGCACCAGGAATTTATGACATTGGTTTCCAGGGGAACAGCGTGGAATCTGACAGGGTACATTGCTAGCAATGGAGTAATTAGTCCACATAACTAACAAACTCTTTCCTCCCGGTTATGCTCATATTTTTGTCACGGGAATGGATATTCGTACCTACGGGTAGTTTTGATTAATTCATCCATCTATATTTTAAATACAAAAATGTAACTGTCTGTCTGTTTATGTATATTATTTTTATGATTAGATAAATAATGAATTTTGTTATGTATAACAATCACGCCACAACCAAAACAAATCTTACAAAGTAAGCTGCTTGACGGCTGAAATAGGTGAAACTGAGGTACTCACGCAGACGAAAGCTCAGCTTAAAGCTCTGGCGCTCTAGAATTAAGTTTATTTTGATGTAGAAAGACGAAACATAGAAAATATTTTTATTAACAACCATTGCACCTTATCCCCAATGGTCGTGGGTTCGACGTCTAGCACGGTACAAACATTTGTCTTAATAAGTATGATTGTTTATATCGGTCTAGATATTTCTATGTATATTATGTATGTATTTACAAAAAAAGTATATGTGTATTTATATCAGTTGTCTAGTATCTATAACACAAGCTCTGCTTAGTTTGGGACTAGATGGCGCTGTGTGAATTGTACTGAGATATTATTAAATCTCCGTGCTCTGTAATTTAACTACCTTATCTCAACCGTCAAATAAAATACAGCTTATAAAGAAAAAAGGCGATTAACGTAAGTGAAAATCAGGTATGTATAAAAATACAATTATTTGTATAAATATGATAATATTAATCACAGTTATTCCTAATTAATAACATAAATAGAAGGCGAAAGTCAGTTTGTTTGTTATGCTTTCACGCCTAAACCACTGAATCAAATGTAATAAATTTTTATATAGAGAGAGACGGGTGTATAGGTAAGAATAATACCTAGAAGGGGTTTAAATAGGGGATGAAAGTTTAAATCGTATGTAGTAATTTCTCAAGGATATAAAATTCATAGTAATTAAAAAATAAACTTTATTAATATTGTGACGACGAAATTGTCGGCGTCATATAATGTTTTATAAATAAAGATGTATAATTTATTTCCTTTGCATTTCCCTTTCGATTACCAGAAAAAGTTGAATAGGTGCATCTATGTATTGAATCTGATTGCTAAATCAACTTTTTCTGCAAACTAGGCCAACGTAACTGACCTATCATTTCTCTTAAATCAAAACAGGCTTTAAGCTAATACTCACATCGCCTTTCACTTTTAGACCTAGACACTTTCACTTGCTAAAATTCACTTTAAATAATTCAACAAAACCAAACACAGATAAAATATTTTCGATTTTTTAGGCGCGAAAATTGAATGGTATTTAAAAATCGAACGCGGATTGGTCTGCGATTTGTAAATTTGAATTTTACTTTTTTTTTGGAACGTTCGCTAGCTGAGACGCTCGGATATAGACTGCGGTGTTTTCGAACCGGTCCGTTGTGATTTAGTGATGGGCTTGGGTCATACTTTTTATCGATTTCTTTTTATATTATTCGAGTTATATTTATCGGCTGTGGAGTAGACGTAAAAAACAAAATAATGTTTATAAAATTTACATCGTAAAGGGTTATGTTACCCGAGTTAAAACATTAGTTTGTACCTCTTTACGGCTGAACAGTTCTTAATGCAATTTTGTGAATGAAGATAGATTGTATCACTAGGGCCTATATAGAATATTGTGCTGGGTTACTTCTTTTAATTTTCAAATATTTAATATGTGGTAATACACTACTTATAGTGCTGTATATATATAAGAAACTTCAAATCTGTTTGTAGTAAAATAAATCACATTAATATAAGACAGTACTGCTAATTTACTGTGTTGCTTTGTCTGCCAAGAACAGATATACCAAGGTTATTTTTTGTCCCAAAAAAAGCAGATGAACTTGTGAGAAACTAGTTATCAAATATATTTCAAAATTAAAAAGGTTTCATTTTAATATCTTCTGATTTTGTATTATTCTTCAAAATAATTAGGTTTATAGGTTATATAAAAATAGGTTTTTATTGTTGTAAAAAAAACCTAATAGACATAAATTTCTACTAATGTATTTTCATCCCCAAGTTTGTAAGGGGTAATCAGAGGGGACCATGTGCTTGGATTGGCTTTTGTTTTAAAAGTTGATGTGATATATTTTGTTAAAATTAAAATTTATGATTAATTATAAACTAATTTAAAATTTATAATGCTCAAGAAATCAGAGAAAATGATAAAATTTCGTGGAATCGACGTTTCGCCAATAATTTTAGAGTGATTTTTAAAAATCGAGTAACTCGATTGTGTATCGACTCGATGCCGCCGTGGAAACCGGTATCGTTTCGCTATCTCGATTATTATAGCTCTGGCTGCAGTGATATTTATTTACGAAGCGTGCGGTTGTAGTAAAATTTAATAATCGTGTGCGTACGGATTAATTTGTAATTGACTAATGAGGCGCCGCGGCGTTGCTCGGGATTATTGTACGAATTAATTTCTTTTTGTTAAAGTAATGGCCAGTTCTTGCTACTCGTAGACAATGTTGATTTTTATAACCAGTTGTGATTACAAGCGGTTTAGCTTACCACCTTACTTCCAATAGTCGCGGGTTTGATTCTTCGCTCGGTACAGACATTTGTATTTATGAGTATGATTGTCTATATCAGTCTGGGAGTTTTCTATGTATATTATGTATGTATTTATAAAAAATATATAAGTAAGTATTTATATTACTTGTATAGTACCCATAACACAAGCTCTGGTTACCTCTTATATTTTTGTAAATACATACATATTATGTATCTATGTATTAACAAAAAAAATATGTAATATATATATGTATATATTAATATCAGTTAGCAGATTAACAATAGGTAGTATTGTAATAGATTATAAACAAAGTTACGGTTTCTATATTTTTTAACTATATTCAACAAAGACAAGATTCAATAGGCACTATTTGAGCCTGCGTGTAACATCTTAGACCGCATCATCATTTAACATCAGGTGAGGTTGCGGTCAAATGCGGTCAAAATTCATAAAAAAAAACATAATAAACTAACATAATATTTACAATTGAAACGTAGAAGTGGTAGATAAAAAACAAATTGTTATGACTATTCAAAAGTGCTTAAATTAAGTTTATATGAATAAATGATTTTCTATTCTATTCTATTCTATTCTGAAGATGCTTTATTTTTAACACGGAACAAACGAGCATGCGGCTCACCTGATGATAAGTGATTACCGCCGCCCATGAACACCAGGGGAATTGCAAGTACTTTGTCGGCCTTTTAAAAAGGAATAAGCTCTTTTCTTGAAGGTTTCAATATTGTATCGGTTCGGAGCTATATCGCTTGTATACATTATATGTTTTAAATTATTTTTTTGACTACTAAGTACTCGCCCCGGATTCGCACGGATGTACATGTATCATTATTATTATTACATAGTATAAAATAAAGTCGCTGTCGCTGTCTGTCCGTCCCTATGTATGCTTAAATCTTTAAAACTACGCAACGGATTTTGAAGCGGTTTTTTTAATAGATAGTGATTCAAGAGGAAGGTTTAGATATTAATGGGTCCTGTGGGGACTGGTCTGTTCAGGTTGCGAACACTGACTAGATTTTTTGTTTTTTGCAATAGCATACGCTGGTGGTCACTCTATTCTCCCAAATTTAAATTTAAATGAATCTGTATTATTGTATACATGTACAACATTTATTTAAAAAAAAATACGAGCTGAGTTTCTTGTCAGTTCTTCTCATCACGAAATCATTCCGAACTGACGGTAGATTTCAAATATTATAATAGTCTGTAATAGACCTACTATGTATGAAGATATTTTGAATTTGAATTTGAATATATATAATACATGTACACCCCTGTGAAGCCGGGGCGAGTAGCTAGTATAATATAAAACAAAGTCGCTGTCCCTGTCTGTCCCTATGTATGCTTAAATCTTCAAAACTATGCAACGGATTTTTAAGCGCTTTGTTTTAGTAGATAGAGTGATTCAAGAGGAAGGTTCATATGTATAATACATGTACACCCGAGCAAAGCCGGGGCGAATAGATAGTAATAAATAAAGTGCTTTAATCGTATAAATTGAGATGAACTTTCCTTGTCCCGTTCACGGAAACCAATCGGAACTTGTTACCGAATCGGCGGCGCCTTGTTACGATACCGGCGCCGGCGCATCGAAAGTGGAGAAATCTTTTGACGTTTATAAATCGATAATGACCTTGTTGGGGCCTGATGACCTCAACGAACGAAGAAAATATTTAAAAATATATATATTTTAATAATATTAAAATTTTATTTGCATTAATATATGCATGTATATCGCACGTTTAATTACAAACTGCATTAACTCGAAAATAACAAACTTTTGAAAATCTACTTTAATGGTTTGTCTTAAGTTCGAATTTTCATTTTTTTTGTATGTGAGATAATGCTGTTTATTATTAAATGGGCGATTGAATAATATTTGCATTAATGTATGCATATATATGTAACTGATAATTATAATGCATCAATAACAACACTGGACAATTCATACAGCGCCATCTAGTCTTAAGTTAAACAGAGCTTGTGTTATGGGTACTAGACAATTGATATATATGTTTATTACAGTTCATACCAGACCCAATCTAGATGGCGCTGTGTGAATTGTAATAAATCTTATATATAAAATTCTCGTGTCACAGTTTTCGTTCCCATACTCCTCCGAAACGGCTTCTCATGAAAATTTTGTGAACGTATTGAGTAGGTCTGAGAATCGGCCAACATTTATTTTTCATCCCCCTAAATGTTAGGGGTAGTCCACCCACCCCTAATTTTTATTTTATTTTAAGGCAAAACAACTAGACATTAGATTAGATTATAATAAATAATTCCCTTTTCACTTAACACAGTGCCAGCTAGTCCTACGGTAAATAGAGCTTGTGTTATGGGCACTAGACAACTGATATATACATAGATACATCTCTTTATAGATACATACATAATATACATAGAAAATATCTCGATTATATCACCCGATCACCGAATACTCTTGAGATAATCATACTCTTGAATACAAATGTTTGTTATAGTAATCGAATCCGTGACCTTCGGAAGTAAATCGTATTTGTATCTGTCATCTAGTACCTATAACACAAGCTTTAGTTAGCTCAACTTAGGTCTAGATGGCGCTGTTTCAATTATAATAAATAAATAACCTCTGGACAATTTACACAGCACCATCGAGTCCCACAGTAAGTAAAGCTTGTACTATGGGTACTAGACAACCGATATGTACTTAGATATATTTTCTTTTGTAAATACATACATATTATATATAGCAAATATCCAAGTCAATAAATCATACTGATGATTACAAATGTTTATTATAGGAATCGAACCTGAGAAACCTTCGGAAGTAAATCGTATTTGTATCAGTTATCTAGTACCTTTAACACAAGCTTTAGCTACCTTAATTTGGGTCTAGATGGCGCTGTGTGAATTATTATAAATATGTAATAAATAAATAACTCCTGGACAATTACACAGCGCCACCTAGTCCCACGGTAAGCAGAGCTAATGTTATGGGTGCTAGACAACTAATACAAATAATTAGACTTTTTTTGCAAATACAAAAATAATATACACAAAAACACCCAGACCGATACAAACAATAATACTCATGAATACAAATGTTTGCACCGTGCGAGGAATCGAACTTACGACCACCATAAAGAGGCGTGCTAAACCGCTAGACCACCGAGGTCGTCGTTACAATTGTCCTGAGATTATTATTATTATTAGATGGTAAAACAGTGAAATCTTATTTTATTACCAAATGTTAATTCATTTCTAACATTTCTGGTTACGACGTCACCGTATACTCGGCGCCTGCGCATTAGGTGGTCGACGCTTAGTGAAAATAGTGAAATCAACCTAACACTAGCCCACGGCTTCGTCTGCATTAATGAGGTTAATAAGTATGTTAATCATTACAGATTATATTAAGTTATATGTGTAGTACATTGAAATCATATATAATACATAATATTAAATAAATAATTACACATATACACAATATTTATTAATGTAACTACATACTCGAGTCATGCGTTATACAACTCTGAATATCATTTTTCTTACTTATGCATCTGAACATTCACTGTTGATTTGTATAAGTACATATTTAATTGTATGTGTATGTATGTATTTGTATGAGTATGTAGTTATATTAATAAATATTGTGTATATGTGTAATTATTCATTTAATATTATGTATTATATATGATTATGGACTCGTTTATATCTAAAACATAGTTTTTTATATTTATAGTTTAAATTAATATACAAAACTCTTTTTTTAAATGCACTACCATAGATATAAATTTCTATTTGCCCTATACTTGACTGAGAGAAAATACCTCAAGGTATTAAGTCCGCCATATCATATGCATCTATATTTGTGCATTAAAATTGCCATAACTAAATATGGGTAAAGAAATAATACTTATTGAATGGGAATCGTCCATAAATTAGAGCAACATGTAAGTTTCTTGCTCATTCTTCTTGTGATGAGACAGCTTTCCGCATGAGAGGTAGTTTCTTTGTCTACATTTACATGCTCATTCTTTCTTTCACGCGTAAGAGCAATACACAAGTTCCTTGCTCGTTCTTCTTGTGATGGGACAGCTTTCCGAATGAGCGGTAGATTAAAAAAATTGTGATGATTTTTCAAAAGTGCTTCAATGTAAGTTTATTTGAATAAATGATTTTCTATTCTATTCTATTATGTTACACTTTAAAGGGAGACAGCAAGTTTTGTAACAAGGGGTTGGAGGAATTAGAAAAACTAGAACTTTTACTTATAAAAGGATTCTTAGATTTATTTTTTATTTGATACTCAAATACAAAAAAATTATCAATAGGATCAAATTAGGTAATTCGAAATTTTAACTGTTAAAATGTTGGAAGGGGTGTTAAAATTGCATAAAGATGTGGAATTATCGCGAGTGAGACTTGAAAAGTCTTATATATTATTTATTTCGTCTTAAAAACGTCTTTACATCGTCTTATGTCGTTCTGTCAACACCGTCAATTCTTTTTTTAATTCAAATTATAATTAAAAAATCATTTATTCATGTAGGACATTTTAGCCGCTTTTTCATAAGCGTCAAGTTTTAGTATTTCATTATATTTTTTTTTTCCTATCGTCCAGTTCGGTACATAGATCCAATTCAGAAGAGCTGGCAAGAAACTCAATAGAATTACTTTAAAAAAAAATAAAACTATAATAAAAGTAAAATGCAAAAATCCTCTTTCGACATATATGTATATATATATATGAGAAGGATTTTTTTTTGTAAATGATAATGAAATGGTGCACCCGCCTGCGCGAACGGGTTACGCTGGCGGGGCACCAGTGAAAGATGATAATATAATATAACTGACCTGACCTCATATTCAGGTCAGGTCAGTTAGCCCATCGTGATAAATTCACTAGGAATTTATTACGATGGTTTCCAGGAGGAACCGCGTGGAGGTCGACCTAACATGGTACATTGCTAGCAATGGGGATTACTAGTTCCCATTACTAACAATCCCTTTCCCTCCTATATGAGTAGAATTAGCAATTTTATGTTTATATACTACCTAAGTAATCTACTGCCATCCTACGAAAATACTGTAAAATACAAATAAATATGTCTACATCTAGAAATCAACTAACTGCACTGTAGAGTAGTCGTAATGCTAGAGAAATAGATGCTGCTTGGCCAGGTTTGTTATTCTATGTTTTTTGAAATAATTTTTTATATAAAACCTATAGTTATGTAGCGCCATCTAGTGATGATGTTAACAAATAAGCTACAGAAACTATTATATTACTGATGCGGAGCACAGTGAAAGTCCAAGTTCCTTTGCCACTAGTTCTAATTATTGAACGCAGATGGCGGTTTTCATGTTATTGTTAGCAGGTTATTTATACATTGCTACGATTATTTATAAGCTGTTATAAAAATATTTTACTAGATCACCCGCGCAACGCGTCTGCACCACAGTTATTATTATATTTAACGTTATATTTCTCACAATGTACAAAATATATTTTTAAATTACAGCCTATTTGCTATTCTGATGTATGAGCTATTTTACTGTAAAGTTTCATCAAAATCCATTTAATAGTAATTATCCACCCGCAAACTTTTTTGTTTATAATATTAGTAAGACTAACTGTTGCCCGCGACATAGTCTGCACAAATTATCATCACCAGACCACCCAGACTATTTTTTAACATAAAATAATTTACATTCATGCTCGTAACACAATCAAACTTCATGGTAAATTTCATTAGAATCTGTTCAGTAATTTCGTTGTATTTTAAACAACATGAACAATAATATATTCACCATACGTATATGGTTGGCTTTTATGAAAATACGCTCGTAACTACTAGGAATACGAGTGTAACTAGTGTAATATACCGTAGAATATCTTGTTACTTAGATAGATAAAGATAGATAGCTGAAACGCAAAACTTTTATTTAAGTTAAATGGCACACACACAAGACAGTAATATATAAGAAAAATCTTAATCTATACATATAAATAAAACTGGAGTGTCTGCTTGTAATATTGAAATAACCATTTTTTACTATATGCATATGAATATAAATATGGTACATACGTCAAAATAACATTTTTTACTATTTTTTTCTGTCTGTCTGTTTGTTCCGGCTAATCTCTGAAATGGCTGGACCCATTTTGACGGGATCTTTATTGGCAGGTAGCTGATGTAATAAGGAGTCACTTAGGCTACTTTTATGTTAGAAAAATGAAGTTAAATTTCACGCAGACGATGTCGCGGGAACAACTAGTATAATATAAAATATCCCTTTAAAAAAGTTCATATCATTAGCTAGTTATATCGTTTAATCGATTAAACTATAATTAACTTAATAACTGTAGTGTAATCGATTTAAAATACTTTTTAAATCGACTAATCGACTAAATATTGTATAAAAGTCAAAACGTATTATTTATCTGTACCGATGCCTAATTGGAGCACCGCGCGTATAAAAGACATCAACGCGCGTTACATAAAATTTGTTTGTATTTAAAATTTTCATTGTATCAATTTTTATTCATAGAGCATATGGAAACAATATAATTTATGTAACTTAACTTTGTATGTAATTTATGTAACGGTTATATTATGAGTAAATTAAGTAATACGTAATTCGTAATAATGTAACCGTGTGTAATATTAAGTAAATTATACGTTAATATAGAGAGTTTCAATATATATATCTATGTGATATATGTTAATATAAAGGTATTTGTTGAACTATATTGATGGAAGAATTTATACACCTATGTATTTAAATATATAGGTATATAAATTCTTCCTTCTTCAATAGTTTAAATATATATATTATATTGTTAGGTAGTGCTAGGTGATATATGTTAATATAAAGGTATGTGTTGAACTATATTGATGGAAGAATTTATATACCTGTGTATTTTTCTATAAAAATGTTTTTATTATATACATACCATATTTTTTAAAGTTTAGATGACACAAATTTTGTTATAAATCGATACAAAATTCTATGAATATGTATGTATTCAAAATGCAATTATGAATAAATTAATAATTTTGATGAATAATGTAAAAATAAACTAGTTTTCGTCAAAATTATATAAATTTACAAGTTTTATGTTAAATGTAATGATAATTTTGAAAAACGATTTCATAATACACCCAATATCAACAAAGTAATGGTTCCCAAAAATAAAGGTTGCCGTGCAACCGCACTGTCTCTAATCACAGTTACATAAACTATCGCGTCACACACTATTTTATATAACGGACAACCAGACGGAGCACCCTGGTAGGCAGTCCGCGACCACACTCCACCGTCACCGCACGCGTTCAACAATGAAAACAAACTAAACACACAATACAAAAAAAAACAAACACGGCAACAAATTGTCAAAAATGTTCTAAATTCAAAAGTTTTCATAGACAATTCGAATTGAATTCAAAATAAATATATATTTGAAATAAAAGTGAAATGAAAGTGAAACTTTTGGAGCACTGACCGGCCAACATGCAGTGTGGATTGAAAGTGTTTCTGTTGATAGCAACATGTGTCGTCGTAGGCGACGCGTCGAATGCTCTCAGTGTTTACCGTAACCCGTACAAAAATATTATGTTCATACCCAAAAATGTCTACCGCAACAGAGCCAGACAGTCCAGAGTGTTGTTTCTGGACGAAGACGAGAACCAACAGCCGTTCGGAAAGGGAGAAATCGATTTGACACTCGACAAGAATTCCAATTCGAAATTCAAATTCGACGAGACCGATTATGAATTTACATCTCCCGATTCTGGGACGGACTCTCCCATAAAACCGCCAGAGAACTTGCCGTCCGGTAACGAGAGATTTTACGAGCCCCTTCCACGGTTTCGGCCGTTTTCTTACCCCAAATACTACAACGGACGGTTCAGCCGTCCGTATGCCCCAAATTTCGGCTTTGAATACCAGCCGTTCGCGCCAGCAGTGCGGACTAGTTATTACCCGGTGAACGGTTGGAAAGCTAGGAGCCCGCGTGTGGTTTTCCCGTACCAAGAGACGGGAAACTCTGTGCAAACGAACGCACATGGTGGGGGGTTCGATAATGTTGTGTTCCGGGAACAGAACTTTGGACTTAACGACGCTGATGAACAGCTGCAGGATATTGGTACGGGGGATGCTGATGCATTCGCAGAGAGAGGTGAGTGTGAATGGCTTATGTAAGTAATGATATAACACGAGGGAGTGTAGATGTTTAGATTGAAAAAAAAAATATTATCGACGATAAAATTGTTTATGGTCTTATTTTTGTGTGAATACCTACGAGTTGGTTGCGACGTAAGTTTCTATCTAATTTATAAAAGTGTCGGAGAGTTTGTTACCAAACTCTTCCGTTTGTTTGTCACAAAATTTTACAAAAATCGGTAAAGTCGTTTACTTTACCGATTTTTGTGAAATTTTGTATGTATATCAGTTATATCTGAGAATTGGCAATCATCTATTTTTCATAATCCTCAATGATAAGGGTGACCCACCCCTAAATATATTTTTTCTCAAGTTTTAATTTTTTTATTGTGATTCAGTAATGAAATATATATACTGCCCTAAATTCTCACCCTTCTACAATTAACCCCTATTTTTTTATAGCCATATTAGTAATTTTATTTATATAACAAGTTAACGATTGCTGAGTAGTAATAGTGCGTTTTTGTTATTCGTGTTACTGAATACATTATTTTAATATTTAATACTAAACTGCATTACCTAAAAGTTGCTAATTTTGAACAATCGACTTTAATAGTTTTACAATTAAAGTTGTTATTTCTAAATTGGTAATTTTAGAGTTGATTAAGTTTTAATATAAAAGGTACGTTATATAGCTACTAGATAGTTCATATATAAATAAATATTATAACTTTTTAAACTGCTTAATCGCGAAAGCGAAGGATCCTTGTTTGAATCGATATTTTATTGTTTCTGCTAATGCCAATAGCTGATAGGCGTGAATGTAAGTATTAATATTATCTCAGAACATTTCACAAAGCGCCATCTAGTCCCAAGCTTGTAATATGGGTATAAATGGACAACTGATATAAATATATTGATACCTTTTATGAATAGATACATAATGTACATAGAAAATACCAAGACCGACACAAATAATCATATTCATGAATAAAAATGTTGGTATCGTGCGAGGAATCGAACCCGCGACCATCGGAAGTAAGGCGGTGCTAAACCACTAGAACACAGAGGCCGTCGAAGCAAAAAGTAAGCAATACAAACAACGAAATATTAGATAACAATCTTTTGTCCCACTAACCGTAGTGTCTAACATGCGTGCCACAAAGTAAAACTATTGCGTAACTTAAGTACTCAGATTTTCCATGGTGATTGGTTATGCGTATATTTTTATATATTGAAATGTCCAAAAAAAACGATATTTAGCTGACCCTAAGTGGGGACCCTCGTTTATATCTTTATATGGTAAATAACAAATTTGCCACTTCTGTCTGGCGTATATTTTTATATATTGAAATGTCAAGAAAACCGATACTTAACTGACCCTAAGTGATGACCCTCGTTTATATTTTTATATAGTAAGTAAAAGTTGCCACTGCTGTCTGTACGCCTATATATTTTTCAACACACTTGCTCGTAAAGTGGATTTAATTTCACCGGTTTTCGATATATAAAGTAGTTCATAAAACACGCGTGCGTTATAAACGCAAATAGTGATGTTCTAATCCATAGCCGCGCTATTATCTATTTTTTAAATTTCGACCTGACCAGCCAGTAGTCAGGGCGCTGATTTAAAAAAGTAAAACGTCGGAAAGCAACCTCGTACATCATAGTTACATGGTTGAGTTTATTTAAAATCAAGTGTGTTTTAAAACATCGTACGATATTCGTATTTAACACACTCGGTTTTATTACGAACTATACTGAAATTCTGTCTCGTGTGTTATAACCATCATAACGAACTTATATCGTAATATACTATTGAACTGCGAAACGAATTTTAATGCAGTTTTCAGCAATAGATAGAGATTGTATATTATTTCAATTGTGTTGGAATTTACGACAAAAATGTGTTTAAAATTAAGTATATTATATACAGATTATTTACATAACACTGCTCTAATAATCTTCTTCTTATTTGACATAAAATATGGTTGAGTGCAGTGATGGCCGTTATACTCGTGAGGGATGCTGCTTGTAGGGACTGGTCTGCTCTGATAACTATGACTGATTTATTTTATTTATTTATTTATGTCAACTTGGTTATTTGGCAGTTTGTATTCACACAGAATTCTTAAAAATGTAATGCTGAATAACATTTATTTAAAAGAGCAACACGCAAGTTTCTTACTCATTCTTCTTGTAATGAGTCTGCGTTCCGAATGAGTGGTAGAAACAAAAATGTGACTATATAAAAGTGCTTATATTAAGTTTATTTCAATAAAGATTACTTCTATTTCCACTGAGACCTGTTGTTTTTAATGGCTAACGGTATACGCTGGAGGGACACCAGTCACCAGTGGAGGATGATAGTATGTTCATGAAGTCAGGTCAGTTTGAATATCGTGGTATAATCTGATGGAGATATTCAGTGAATCATTCATTCATAAACTAAAGAGCAACGCTCTTGTCCTGTGGAGCTCTTGCCATTTTCTACGATTTTCCATCATATTTTTTAAGCCTTCTTGTAATCAGTGAATATTCCTTCTAATATAGTAAATATTCAGCAGTAAATACAATTTAATCTGGTTGTCATCACAGTTGCATGTTATACATGACTGTTACATAGCAACAAGAATACTAATTTTTAATGTAATGGATTATACTTTTTATTCCAAAATCAATGTCCCTTATATATTCACCACTAGATGTACCTACAACTTCGTCCATGTGGAATTTAACAAAAAGGTTAATTTGAGAATTTTTCTAAAATAAAAGTAGCCTAAGTTACTCCTTATTACATTAGCTAAAATATAAAAGTCCCGTCAAAATCGGTCTAGCCATTTTAGAGATTAGCCAGAACAAACAGACAGACAGACAAAAATTGTAAAAAAATATATTTTGGTGTATGTACCGTATTTATATTCATATGCGTGTAGTAAAAACGGTTATTTCAATATTACAAACAGACACTCCAGTTTTATTTATAGATAATAATCTGTGTGGAGGTTCCTATTACTGATAGGCTCACAATTTCCCATTACTAATGTCCCCTCCCCCTTCCCTCTATAGACGAGGTCGTCAAACCAAGCATTAACAAAGTTATTGTGTTTAAATAACGTCGCAAACAGTTAGACATGCTTGATTGCTATGGGTCAAGGGATGCAATTACGTATAGCTAAACATATTTTAAGCTACATATGGCGTACTAGCTTTTTCTCAGGGCATTACTTGTTTGGAAGTCGTTGTTAAATAATAATAATAATCTCAGGACAATTCACACAGCGCCATCTAGACCCAAGTTAAGCTAGCTAAAGCTTGTTTTATGGGTACTAGATAGCTGATACATATACATAGATATTTTTTTTGTAAATACATACATATTAATAATAATAATAATCTCAGGACAATTCACATAGCGCCATCTAGACCCAAGTTAAGCTAACTAAAGTTTGTGTTATGGGTACTAGATAACTGATACAAATATATAGTGTTTGTTTTCGTAAATACATACATATTATACATAGAAAACACCCAGACCGATACAATCAATCATACTCATGTATACAAATGTTTGTGCCGTGCAAGGAATCGAACCCGCGACCATCGGTCGTAAAGCCGTGTGCCAGACCGCTAGACCACCGAGGTCGTCAAAAATCCTGGTGAATTTTTCACGATGGGCTAACTGACCTCAGTTTATATTAATTATTTTTATTCATTTACTTCATAATGCCATACAATTAAGGTCATTTAAGGATATTAAAGGAATAATATAAATTTCTATTATTGACTTTGATATTAATTATGATTATTACTTTATTTATTACTAGCTGTAATAAATAAAGTAATAATCATAATAATCGTAATACCACGCGGACGAAGTCACCCGAAACCGCGTGGTATTTAATTTAATTTTCCTAAAATAAAAGTAGCTAGAGTTACTCCTTATTACATCAGCTACCTGCCAAAAAAAGTCCCGTCAAAATCGGTCACGGCCGTTTCTGAGATTAGCCGGAACAAATAGACATACAGACAGACAAAAATTGTAAAACATGTTATTTTGGTGCATGTACCTATATTTATATCCATATGCATGTAGTAAAAAACGGTAATTTCAATATTACAAACAGACACTCCAATTTTATTTATACGTATAGATTATTATAATTACTATTTTATATACTAATTTACTATTATTTGATTTGTTATTATTGTAAATAATTTTATACATTTCTTGCATGCCCGATTATGCCGAATCACGATTGTGCGTTTTATGATAGTATCTAACTCTTCATCGTGTTTGCCTGAAAATAAATAATTCATTCATATTTCATTCATTCATTTATTCATGCTCATCCTATCATCCTCCACTGGTACTATAAATAAAACATCGTATTCCTCTTAAATGATTTTTTCGGACTATTATAATGCTGTTGGCCGCAGCTGGCCTTTACAGCTCACTGGACGAGAGGGGGAGAGTGCATGTGGCACTTCAAACCCGCGGAAGGACTTATAGAGCGACTGAAGGCCAACTCCCGTTTGACGGATACGACTTTAGTCTGTGGACACCGGGTCCGAATCTCGGCTCAGGCCGTCGTAATTACGACGTTTGAACTGTACAGGGATCGATCGGAGGGGAATGGACGGGGGATCGATCGGAGGGGAGACGGGGGATCGATTGGAGGGGAGACGGAGTTCGATCGAAGGGGACAACGCATGAGTGATATCACCGGGATCACATAAAGTGCCTGTTGTTGTGTGTGGGTGTTGTTTATCATTTAGTAATGTAAAAATGCATTCGTCATAAATATAATTATTATAATTAATCACTCGATGTATATAATTAACCTGGATATTATGTATTAGAATGTTTTAACCGACTGCGGAAGTAAAAGAGGCTAATGTTTTGTTATGTATGTATTTTTATGTAGAATGTAATGTGATTTATTATATGTAATTAGTAGGTTAGATTACTGATACATAATTGTTACGTATGTATATGAATATATACAAAAGAGA